GTACACAGTCATAAAATGTACGTGGAACCCACTAAATTACATTTTTCCAGCTTATTTGGCAGAAATGTTATAAAAGGTAGGCAAATGAAAAGTGACTAAAAACTTTTTTTGTAAAGGTATTTGCTTCGGGTATATTTGCACCTGCACTATATTCTCAAAAAGTTACAAGGTGTCCTCCAGACCTTGTTGAGACTACAACTCTCAGAATTGCCAAGTAGCATTCACTTGGCTACTTTGGTTGGAGATTATCAATTGTAATCTCAACTATCTGAGGGAGCACAAGAATTGAGAATAAAATCTGTAACAATTGTTATAGAGATTCTCGGTCATCCAGGTCATGGTTGTCCCAAAGGTGCTTTTCAAGAAGCAACTGGATTTTCTGGGTTTTCTTTGAAGATATTTTGTTTCTCATCTAAGAAGCTTCTGCAGTGGAGAAGAGCTGAAAAAGCTTCTTGGATGAGAAGCAAAACGTCTTCAAAGAAAAACCAGAAAGTCCAGTTGCCTCTTGAAAAAGTACTTTTGGGACAACAATTGTTATAGTTTCCTCTACCACAGTGTTTTTCAACTTCAGCAACCTTAAGGTCCAACTCCCAGAATTCCCCAGCCTTATTTGAAGTCCACACATCTTAAAGATGCTGACCCTGATCAAGGTTATTCTAGAACAGTATTTCCCAACCCTGGCCACTGGAAGATATATGGATCAACTCCAGAAATCTGGGAGTTGAAGTCCACACATCTTCAAGTGCCCAAGGTTGAGAAAACTGCTCTGATAGTCTTGACCTTTTTTGTTGTCTTGCAGATTCAGCCCTGTGGGATTATATTTTTCAATTTGTGGCAGAAAGGAAGATGAATACCTATTAAATTAGCACCTTGACATTGTGAATTATCTGTGTTTCTTCAGAGCCATTTTTTCAGCAAGAAATCAAAGAACAGTGCTTTATTTTTTAAGACATTAACTAGATGCTATATAAGGCGTGAATGCAAAATTACCCAAATTAATCAGAGAAAGAAAGCAGCTCCGGGGGGAGGAAGCTAACAAGCTGGCAAGAAAATCTGTGTTGCCTATGTTTGCGGCATGTTTGTCATTTGGAAAGAATAATCCAGGGAGAAGCGAAACCCATTTCCAAAAGACAAAATTGCTGCATCAGGTTTTCCAGCCGTTCCCACCAATCCTTAGACTCATTCAGCGTAGCTATCAATTCAGTGATAACGTCCTTTATTTCATCCACTGCTTATACTCCATTGGGTTCTCCAGCGGGGTTGTGCAGAAGCAAAATGATTTATTCATGTCGTTTGATAGTGACGGGGCAACGCAGCCTCTCTCTTTTGAACATGCCAGATGGGTTGGGACTGCAACTGCCAACTTTGGGCAGAGTGGCTGGCAATTCTGAAAGCTGCAGATCCAGCACATCTGGAAGACACCAGGATGGAGAAGCATGGGACAAGCATAGGCTGCCTCCCAGCTCATAGCTGTTTGCCCAGCCAGCTGCTTGTGACTTTTCCCCTCTTTCCAGTTCTTGATGAGACTCCAGTTTAGGTCAGTTTGAGGCTGGGGAAGTGGGGTAGAACTCAGCAGGCAGAGGTTGGGTGACTTAAAAAGGTGCCAGACCAGTCCAGCTTTCCTGCTGGGAAGTGAATTCAAAAAGCAGGTGGTCTTTTGTGCTAACAGTACTATGCAGAGAGAATTCAACTCCTGTTTACCAGTTACTTTCTGAATAAACACCATTTCTTGCTTCTGGAGTGATGTGTGGATATTTGCTGGGGTTTTGTTCTTTGTTTTCACTATGCGGTGAACCTTTCTTACTATAGATTTCACACAAAAAAGTAAGTCAAGAAGCTGGCAAAACAGGGGAAGCCCAGGAGGCTGGTGGTCAGGAGGAGAAATTAATGTTGGAGCAAGACCGTAAAATCATCCCAAATTGTTGGACCAGTGGAATCGTCTTTCAACCATTCATTTAATGACTGTTCAAAATTACAAGGGCATTGAAAAAGTATAATAGATTTTCATACTTATGACTCTCATAGCCCTGAAAGAGCCCTGGTGGTTAAAGTGCAAAATTACAGGCAAACTCTACCCACAGCCTGGAGTTTGATTCTGATTGCAGGCATGATATTCCGCTCTGGAAAAAAAATTGGGGCCGGACAAAAGAGACCCCCCGCCGTGTGCCCGGGGAGCGCCCGCTGCTTTCCCTCGCCGGGGCCGGGCGGCGGCGTGTTGCACGGAGGCTGGTCTGTGGCTGGCCCAGCTCCCTTTTCCTGCCGCTCAGCGGCCTCCGCTCGCACCGCCCAGGCTCCGCTCAGGTATCCGGCTGGGGCTGTCAGGAGTTGCTACCGCCGGCGCAGCTCCACGTGGCTTCAGTCCCGCGTTGCCTCAGGAAGGGAAAGACAAAACCAGGAGCCGCTGCTGCCGTTGCAAAGCGCCGCCGCGGCACTTCCTTTTTGCCTTTCCCTTCCTGAGGCAATGCGGGACTGGAGCCGCGCGGAGCCGCGCCAGCAACTCCTGACTCGGGGCCTCCGAGGGGAGGGGAAGGAGGAGAAGAAGGGGTGGGGGGGAAAGGAGGGGGCGATTCCCAAAAAAATCGGAATTCCGATTTTAATCGGAAGAATATCATGCCTGTGATTGGCTCAAGGCTGACTGAGCTTTCCATCTTTCTGAGGCTGATAAAATGAGGACCCAGATTATGGGGGCAATATGCAAATAACGCTTATGTTGTAAACTACCCAGAGAGTGCTATGAAGCACTAGGGGGCAGTATATAAGCCTAAATGAGATTGCTATGCCATCTCCATAGTCACATGATCAAAATTTGGGCACTTGGCAACCAGCATGTATTTACAATAGTTGCATTGTTCCATGGTTATGTGATCCCACCATTTGCAACCTTCCAAGCTTGGTTTCCAACAAGCAAATTCAATGGGAGAAGCTGGGTTCATTTAATGACCATGTGATTCACTGCAATCAAGTGTTGGCAAAAAAGATCGTAAAATTGGGAACAACTCACTCTCAACCACCTTGCTTAGCAACAAAAATTCTGCTTCCAATTGTCATAAATCAAGGACTACCTGTATCAAAGATGTGTGTATGTGTAGAGGAGAAGCTGAGTTTCTAGCTCACTTTGTACCCTGGGAAATGCAGCAAGCCTGATTGCAAATACAGGTAGTCCTCGACTTGCAACAGTTCATTTAGTGACCATTCAAAGTTACAACAGCACTGAAAAAAGACTTATGGCCATTTTTCACACTTATAACCATTACAGCATCCCCATAGTCAAATGACTAAAATTCAAGTGCTTGGTAACTGACTCCTATTTATGATGGTTGCATTGTCCCAGAGTTGTGACCATCTTTTGCGACCTTCTGACAAGCAAAATCAATGGAGAAAGCCAGTTTCACTTAACAACCATGTTACTAATTTACCAACTGCAGTGATTCATTTAACAGCTGTGGCGAGAAAAGTCGTAAAATGGGGCAAAACTCACTTAACAAATGTTTTACTTAGCAACAGAAATTTTGGACTCAATTGTGGTCATTAAGTTGAGGATTACCTCTAGGTTGGTTTTATTTTTCTGTGTAAAACGGGTTTCTGCAGAATGTGGTAAAAAAATCAAGATGGTGGCTGCCGAGGCGAAATTAAACTCTACCAATTTTTTAATATGTTTTGTGGACCTTACTCCAAGGAAGGATCGATTGGAGAAGGATCCATCTGGAGCAGCCTGCCTGCTGAGTCCATTCCCTCCTTGTTTGCTCTACTCTGGAAAATTATCTTTTTATTTTTATCTTTTTAAGACGTGCCAAATCGTCCTACCAACTGTGCTTTCTCTCTCTCTCTCTCTCTCTCTCTCTGTAGCATGTGTGTGGAAACCATTTCAAAAGACCATTTAAACAGACTCCAAGACATTTTGGATTTTTTCATTTTAATAGGAATGTGTAGATCCATATAAATCAAGGCCACTTTACTATATATGAGAGTAGGACAAGATAGGCATTTTAAAATTATTTTTTAAAAACTGTTTTAAAAAATCAATAACTCTGCAACTGTGTTTGTTCATTGCTCTATTAGCTTTGGGAATCCACTTGGAGTGGTGCAAAAGTCAGAAAAGTGAGGAAAGCATCCATCCTCATGCAATCAAAGCCCAACACCTTATTTCACTGCTTCTTAACCTTAGCAGTTCCATGGACTTTGTGGACTTCAACTCCCAGAATTCCTGAGCCAGCTGACTGGAGAATTATGGGAGTTGAAGTCCAAACATCTTAAAGTTGCCAAGATTGAGCAACACTCAATTTATAAGTGATATATATAAAGTGAGGTAGAGTTTTAATTACACAATTGTACTTTCTTGACATACACATACATCTAATGGATGCATCTAACCAACAGGGAGAAAAAAACAACCTCAGTGGGGGAGAAAACTTGAGAAATTTTTATTCTGTACAGATATTTAAAACATAATTTTCCCAGTAAATGCTCACTTCTTATCTTTCTTTAACTGATTAAACCAATGTTTTCAAACCTGGTAAATGTAAGATGTGTAGACTTCAAATCCCAGAATTCCCCAGCCAGCATGTTGGTTGGGGAATTCTGGGACTTGAAGTCCATACAACTTAAAGTTGTTAGGTTTGAAAATCCCTGCTTTGAACCATTTTTGCATTCGTGGAAATGTTTGGAAAAGGACCAGGATTAGGGACAGGCCATCCTGAAGGAGATCTATTTATAAGGTCAGTAAGAATTGACTTGAATTTGGTGACATGTAAATCACCAACCAATCAGAATCACATTTCCCCAAAAAAACTTTATTTTTACAAATACATGAGAAAATCTAACTGTGATCAGTCCTGGAATAGAAGAATAGAACTAATAACATCCTAATCTTTAGTATAAAGTAAATCCACTATATTTATGAAATCCAGATAAATAAATCAAAATAGGAGTATAAAAATCAAGATAAGGAGGGTGCTGTCTACAAGTAATTTCAAAGGGAAAGGGACATTACACATTTTCCACTAACTCTCTGATTCACTTTCACTCTCACTTGAGTCACTCTCACTGTCACTCTCATCATCATCATCTTCCTCCTCCTCTTCTTTCTTAGCCATATGACGATAATAACATAAGCTGTAAGGAAAAAAGAGGATAACACTGAAGCAGAATGTAGAAGCAGATTTCAAAGTTTCTAGCTCTGATGAATTCCACCAGCAATCTCTTTTTTACTAATGAGGCCCTTACACACACCAGCTTTGGAGAATGCAAGCAAAAATTCTAGGATATTTCTTTAATTCATCTGCAATACTAGCTGTGCCTGCTGGGCCAGGTTATTACTTTGCCCAAATTATTTTGTGCATTTTTCAATAATGGGATGCGGGTAGCGGGGACTCAGTCTCCTGCCTAAACCAGATTGCATATCCTGGGTATAAGCACAAAATGTTTGTTACCTTTGAAAAAAATCTACAGGTAGTTCTCAACTTATGACTATAATCAGAACCAAAGTTTTGGTCATAAGTCATTGTTGTAAGTCGAGGCAACCACAGGACCAGACCTGATTTGTTTTTATGGTGGTCGCTAATCAAATCATGTGGTCATTAGTCTGAGTCACACATCTGAAGCAAATCCATTCTCTCAGTTGTGTGCTTTTTGCTAGAAAAATGCCACAAATCACAGTCACGTGACTATGGATGTGGCAACCAGATATCAATTCAAACTGTTGTTAAGTGTCAGAATAATGACCAGCAGGGCTTTATGAGCCATAAAGAACCCTTTTCAAAGCTGTTATAATGTCAAACCATTGTTAAACGACTAAATTGAGGACTATGTGTTTCCTACTAAAGTCTGTCTGCCATTACTGATTTTTCACCATGGTCTCACCAGAAAGAAGCACCTTCTCCCTTGTTTCTCCTGTCCTCGGACTGATGTCCTCAAGGTATGTTAAACATACCTCTCTGGGAATATGAGATATATCTGAAGGGCACCACTTTGAGGAAATTGGACTCACAGTTTCAACTATAATGACATTTTTTAAAGGATGACAATAGATACATAGGTGTGACTCTGTGATTCCCTTCACAACTTTCAATTCGGAAAACTGAACTGCAATTTCCTTAATTTGCGGAGGGCCATCAGTGTAGGCTCAGAACGAATATGGTCTGTCCTATTCAGAAACCCAATTCTGCTTTGAAACTACCATAGAGTGTTTTAAAAATAACAAATAACTAAATAAGTTTTGTTTAGGGCATACTGTTTATTTTCAGAGTTCTATGGACATTTCGGTGAGCCAGGTGGGTGCAATGCTTAAGGCATCCAGCTAGAAACAAAAGTTCCATGCATTGTAGTCCCACTTTAGCCACAATGCCAGCTGGGTGACCTTGGGCCAGCCACCTTCTCTCAGCCCTAGGAAGGAGGCAATGGCAAACCAAACAAAGATGATAAGGGGTCTCAAGGGTAAACCACGTGACGAGCAATTGAGGGAATTTGGTATGTCTAGTCTAACGAAGAAAAGGACTAGATGTGATTATGACACCAGTCTTCCAATTTTTGAAAGGTTGTCACAGAAAAGGGGGCATTGACCTCCAAAACCTCTGAAAGCAGGACAAGAAGTAATGGGTGGAAGATTATCAGAGAGAGATTCTACCAAAAGCTAGGGAAAATTTTTTCCTATCAGTCGGAACAATTAATCAGTACCTACCTCTGGAAGTTGTGGTTTTCAAGAAGAGTCTGGACAGCTATTTGGAATGGTATCAGGTCTCCTGCTTGGACTAGATGACCTTCAAGGTCCCTCCAACTCTATTATTCTATGTTCTATGTCCGTGATGGCGGACCTATGGCATGCGTGCCAGAAGCGCCGCACAGAGCCATTTCTCCGGGCACGCCAGCCATCGCCCGTTGCTCTTCTGGGTTCTGGCGTGCGCATGCGCGCCGGCCAGCTGGTCTTTGTGCACCGGAATCTGGAAGAGCAGGTGGCCGGGCATGCCTGCCTGCCGGGGAGCTGCTCTTCCAGTTTCCGGCGTTCCCTGTGCACACATGCGTGCTCCCGTTTTGGCAGTTGGTGCCGAAAAGGTTCACCAACTCTGTTCTATCTTCTAACCACTTTTGAAAAACCTGCCAAGAAAACTGCAGGAACTTTTCCAGGCAATCTCTAAGAATCACACTCAATTGAATCAAGAAAAAAAGGGACACAGTTTGGCATCTCCCGCTCAGCCTTTTCCCACCAGCTGCTCTTCAGATGTGATAGCCTTTGAAATTGATAGCTCCACAGTACCAATTTCATGTCACCTACGTCCAGTTATCCCCACAAAAAGCAAATGAGGCTACACTAGTTGTAAAGTGGTGAGACTCACAAAGCAACAACAATGAAGGACAGCACACCTCCTGTAATCCCGCTCACTTTCCAAGCTGTCCAATCAGCTTCAGGGGGTGGAGCCCTGGAAGAAATCTCTAGGATGAGAGGGTTTTTCATTGACACAGGTGGCGGTAACAATAATGAAGATGGTGGAGACAGTGATGATGGCTGTGGAACCAGCGGTGGTGGGTGGGTAAACCAGGTGGTGTTCTCTTTTGGAGGCAGCACTGAAAGAAGAGGAGAAGATGGGAAATTAAGAGACATCAGGGTGGTGATTAGGAGAGGAATTCTATCAAGGTTCCAACAAATGAACCCAAGCAAATCAGAACTCTGAGACTGGGCTCCTTCTCAAAGATCTTCTTCATTGAATACATCATATTGGCACAGCTTCAAAGGAAAACCAATTCAAAATCTTTCCCATGGTTTCAGTATAAATAAACTAAGAAATAATCCCACCCCCAAGTGTCAGGGGTCATGGTGGCCAATTGGGTTAATTGGCTGGTTCTCCAGGCACTCCTTCCCCAATCTTATCTGTTGACAGCAGAGATGACCTTGGTTCTCACGAGAAAGCTCTCTGTTGTGTCTAGTAACATATTCCAACCTCCTTCCCCAATTCCCCCGGACAGAAAAATGGCTACTGCCAGGTTTGGTTCAAAGTTGAACTTAGAAGAGAAGGTATTCTATCTCTCTAAACTTTAGCCCCTGGTCAACTGGTTAAGTGAGGGCTGTCAAACTCATGGCATCACAGTGGCGTCACATGACATATGGGGACTTTTTTTCCCCTTCGCTAAACCGGGTGGGGACGTGGCCAGCGCATGATGCATCTACGGTAGGTCACGGGTTTCGAGTTTGACAGTCCTGGGTTAGATGAATAACTTGAAAACTGACACAAAGAAACCTCCTTTAAAGGGATATATATCTGATATTCAACAGGCAAATGAATAGACGCCACCCAATAAGAGAAATGCTCTCTTCATTATCACAGGGTTGAAAAGGAATCTCTAATGACCTGTTTGTTTGTTTTTTACGTTGTAATAATTGTAAAAAAGAACAGGACTTTAAACACATGGTTGAGCTGACCATCTAAACCTTCTTAACCTCCTCCTGCAGATACCCCTGAGGTCAGCTACAGCAACCTCTGCACAAACTATGTAGAGATGTCTTGTTTTTTTCCCCTTCAGAACTCGTAATGAAAGGCAAGGAAGGGAAGATTTAATCAGCCCTTAAAAACCAATTCCCTAGAGCCCAAATTTTGATTTCACAGACTAAAAGTTACAAGCTTACACCTATGCTAGGAGGCAAGCAACCTATTAGGCTCTGGTGTTTTATATCCAGGCTGTCTCAATTGCATCTTCCACTGCCCAGTGGATTTATTTTCATGGAGAGAGGAATATTGTTACAGCCTTTTCTCTATATCACTGTCACAGTTTCTACTCCTCTAGTAGAAATTAAGAAAGAGCATTGTTGGGAATATAAGTCACCTAACAATTATTTGGGTTGGAAATATATAAACCAGGATAGACATTTTAATACTGTCTCTTTAAGAAAATGCAAAAAAGTGTAATTGGGTGTGGTTTCTCAAACGGCCATAAGATGGAGCCAGAAACCTGGGTTGTTTAGTCTTAGTCTCAGAAGAAAATGTGTCTCAGTGAGTCTCTGTTTTCCTTCTATTGGAGAGTATTGCTGTTCCTCCTAAATTGACTGATATTCTTGGATTTGATGTAAGCCTGTTACTGAACTGTTTTTGATACTGGACTTTGTTATTGGATTATTCCTGAACTGAAAACTGACTAATCTTACTTGTGAATGACTTTGGACTGTGTTTGAACTTTGCTTAAATATTTCTGGAAGTAAAAACCTACATTTACTGTACAGTGTATCTGTGTGCTGTGTGTGTATTATTCAAACACTTCTCTCACTACGTCTCCCTGTATGTGCTCATTCTCCTAACGGGGAATAATCTCAACAAGCATCTCTTATGGGTGGCCACTGTATGTGCCCACAGACCACACAATCTGTCCAGTGGTGGGATTCAATTTTTTTTTACTACCGGTTCTGTAGGTGTGGCTTGGTGGGTGTGGCATGTCTTGGTGGGCATGGCTTGGTGAGTGTGGCAGGGGAAGAATATACTGCAAAATCCCCATTTCCACCCCATTCTAGGGGAAGGATACTGTAAAATCCCCATTCTCTCCCCACCCCACTAACCTGCTTTCCAGTTCTGTTCTCCTGTGCAGGGCAACAAAAGAAGACCCCGCCGATCAGCTGGGACTCAGGAGGTAGCGAATAGAGGTGGTATTCAGAGCTGGTATTTGCCAGTTCTCAGAACTACTCAAAATTTCCACTACTGGTTCTCCAGAACTGGTCAGAACCTGCTGAATATCACCTTTGAATCTGTCCTGCTTACAAATGCTATACCCTCCAAAGAATTTCACAGGAGGTATAAAAAACAATGACCATTAGATGGAAGCTGAATTAGAGGTCTTAGTGTTTCTTTATTGCCATCTAGAGGCTATCTACATTTTTGCACCCTAGGAATCGTACCCCTAAAGTGAGCACCAACTCCGGGTTATAGAATGAATCTCACTGAGGTGGAACTTCCTTCTAATTAATCTGCTACACAGCATGACAGTGTTCATCCAAGTCCATATGTATTATAGGAATATTACAGATAGTCCTTGTTCTATATTAGCATTCTCCAAACACTGAATTCTGATTGGTCCACACGGACCGCAACCCGATTGGTCAACTGAACGGCTGTGATTGGTGCGCTAAGAATCAACCGCGATTGGCCGTGTCGATCGCGGGAGATTCAAAGCGCTGTCATTGGCCGCCGAGCCGCGAGCAATGCCTATATGAAGGGCTGCCGCAGCTCTGAGATCTTGTACAGGTCTTAACATTGAATAAAGAGCTGAATGTACACTTTTGGTCTCGCGTCTCTGTGGGAACCGATCTTTTCATGCAATAACCACAGGGGGGTTGCAACGGCTCCTACCCACCTAGCTCTCCCTCTGAACTCAGCTGCCCACCCGGCTCACCAGTGCATGCAAGCTGGAGGGCACTAGAGGCCCAGGCCTGTTCCCACCCCACTACAACCAGCAGGCCTCTCACCATGGTTACAAGATCCAGCAGCAGCATATTTAACTTTGCATTTCTCTACAGTTGCTGACAGGAGTACCCAGACAATGAGATACGTGGCCTTCTTAAAGAGGCGACTTCATGCCATTTTGCAAGCATGTGATATTCTTGCTCAATTTGAATAGGCCTTCCAAACATTCACAAGAATGGCGCCTGCTTGGAGTGTGGTTCAAGGTGCTAGGAAAAGCCTTTTCCTGGCCTCCCAAATGATTGTTTTTGCTAACCTTGCATGCTTCCTAGGCTCAAAAACTACCGTGTTTCTCATATAATAAGGCTGGGTCTTATTTTTTTTTTGAGCCCCGAAAAAATGGCTAGGCCATCTTTTCGGGGTGACTTAATTCCCCCCACCCTTGCATCTTCGTGCGGGCAGCGACGGCTTGGATGTTGATCTCGGCGTTGGTGGGGCACTTCGTATCGGGGGTCAACGCAGGCAGCACCATATCCGGGTGTGCAACAAAAGTACTTCCTAACGGCAAGCCCCCCCCCGCCATTTCCCCCCCATTTCGCCTGTTTTAATATAGGCCTTAATTTGGGGGGAGGGGCTTAATTTCATTTCATGCCTATAAAACATGCTGGGACTTCCTATTGGGGGAGGCCGTATTGTTGGAGAAACAGGGTAGCAAACGCAATTGGAAGGCTTCCCCTTTGGGGAAGAAGGTCCTCCAAAGCTTCCGGGGACGTGTTCCAGTCCTGATTCACTACACTCACCCACAACTTGAAAGTCAAGCTGGCTGGAAGTATAGCCTTTTGTGTCCACCATTTTACATCGGTATCTGCCTGCATCTTTCATATTGGCTTCTTTCTTGGTCAGAAAGGAATCTGCCCCGCTGGCCATCAGCTCCTCCTTGTTATTCACCATCTGAGAAGAATATAAGAGCACATCGTTTCTGTATCCACGTAACAAAGTTGTTGCCCTCCAGGAGGAAAGAATGGGTGGCATTACAAGCTCTCTACTGAAGACCAGGGTAATCCAACAGCACGGCTTCAGTTTGGAAAGTCAAACTCAAGAGCTAAGGAGACAAAAGGGATAGGGAAAATAGGTTTGTGTCAGGCAAACTGCTTGTTGGAGACAATACTTACCTTGTAGAACATGTATGTCTTCACTCCATGGCTTGCCTTATGCCATTTCAGAGCACAATCCAAAATCAAATCTTCATCCATTTCCACTAGAACTTTCCGTTCTGCAAAATTCAGCATGTTATAATTCTACTGTCAGGCCATGCCAACAGCTGCTAACTTAAATTATACCTTTATTAGGCTTTCTTGGCCAGTTAACCTGCCTGAAATGATGGGAGCAAGCAAAGAGGACCCTTTGAGTAATGTTTTTAGTAACAAGGCATTTGATTCATGTTTCTAGTTCTTTGAAGTAACAAGCAAGAATGTGAAATTCTGATAAGGACCAGGCCAAACTGGCCAGAGACAAGAATTGCCCAAAGAGTGGGCCTTTAATAACCTAAAAATTCACCTATTGAATATGTAATTGGCCATTAGCAAATCGTGCTAAGAATATTATGGGATGCTATGAATTGGTACATAGTACACATATATATAGCTACTGAGCATGCTTGATCGCTCAAATTATGCTAACCAATGGAAGAACACGTTCCAAATCCAAATGTTTGCACTGTATATAAAGTGATACCCTATTCCTTTAAGAGGCCTTTCACCTTATATCGGGGAGGGGGGTCTTTTTATTTACACATAAATAAGAAATATTAGTCTACCTTTCCAGCTTGGGTCCTATTTTTAGCAGAGGCACACCAGGCTAAGAACCTTGCCGTCATTTACAGCTAACATGGACCCGCAATTTAGACTGGATTTAGACTGGATTCATTACCAATCGGGCTTTGCTATCTTCTAATCCAGCTCCAAACTGCATGAGCTGATTTAGGGTCTGCCCTACCAACACTTACCTCCACAATGGAAGTTCTTGGTACAGGTCTGCTGATTTGCAATACATGAGCTGCAACTGATAAACGTATAAAACATCCTACCTGTAGAATAGGAATTGAATCAGAGGAGGACCAGAAGGAAGAAGCTAACTTACTGGCATAAAGCAGAAGAAAACCAGAGGAATGGACATGTGGGCTCCTGCGAGCCCTATGATTCTATGATCTTTAGAATAGAATAGAATAGAATAGAATAGAATAGAATAGAATAGAATAGAAGAGTTGGAAGGGACCTTGGAGGTCTTCTAGTCCAACCCCCTGCCTAGGCAGGAAAACTTACACCACTTAAAAACTTCCAGTGTTGGAGCATTCACAACTTCTGGAGGCAAGTTGTTCCACTGATTAATTGTTCTAACAGTCAGAAATCTTTTTCCTTAGTTCTAGGTTGCTTCTCTCCTTGATTAGTTTCCATCCATTGCTTCATGTCCTGCCTTCAGGTGCTTTGGTGAATAGCTTGACTTCCTCTTCTTTGTGGCAGCCCCTGAGATATTGGAATACTGCTATCATGACACCACTAGTCCTTCCTTTCATCAATCTAGACATACCCAGTTCCAGCAACCATTCTTTATATGTTTTAGACTCCAGTCCCCTAATCCTCTTTGTTGCTCTTCTCTGAACTCTTTCTAGAGTCTCAGCATCTTTTTTACATCGTAGTGACCAAAATTCACTTCATGTGAATATTGCCGTTAAAGGCAAAATCACAGGACTCTGATGAGTAGGCTTAGTAGTATTTTTCCAGAAAAGCCTTGGTCAAACTGCTCAGTTCTAGTTACAGATGAATCTGGTCTCAGTTCCTCTTTATTTTTTGCTAAAAGGCCATTTGCAACTCAAAAACTGTGTGCAAAAACATGTATAATGTCAAAGAGTACATAATGACACAGAAATACATTATATTCTAGGCAAAATTGTTTGCTTGCCAAAATGTATAGATAAAAAAATGAGAAGAATCATTCAGAACCCTTTTAAAAAATCTGATATACATACTGGGCAAAACAAAGTCAGTTCAAGAACATGAAAAATGGCATAGCAAATTTAGCCTCCAGCCTGAGCAGGAAGGGTTGGATTAAAAGACCTCCAAGATCCCTTCCAACTCCATTATTATGTTATTTAATGTGATAGATTTGCTTTCTCCAATGGAGACTGAAAATGCCATTTGTAGTGGGTGACACTGAATAAGATGCACCAGAATTCTGACTTATAATTGAAACTAGACAACCTGTGACTCCTTGGGTCATTTTTTCGGAGCTACTTCCTTACCAGATTCCTCAATGCCTTCAATAATGACAAGGCTTCTAATGTACTTGAAAAGTTCTTAAAAAATCAGGAAGATTCAGGAACTATATAGCACAGTCAAAGGTCACAAGCTGACCACAGGAAACGTTTTATGACATTTTGTACAGTGTTATGGCACAGAATGTTTTGTCATAATTTTTGTGTCATAAAATGTTTTATAACATTTGCCAAATTTCAATTCCACGGGAATTACGGGGCCCTGATTTTGAACGCATTCTGTAAGTTAGTCCCTTTGAGGTACCTCAGTTCAAAAATGGTTGCCCAATAATGCATTGTTTAAAGGTAATTTACCAGAGAGTTTTAATAACATATAAACTGGACATGAAATTAGTTAATCCTTCCTTCCTTGCTTCTTCTTGAAGCAGTTCTAATTATGTTAAGAACTAAATATAGAAAAAGACTTGTGAGGAGTGGGGGGAAACAACAGGAGAACATGACCCCAACCCTGATCAGATGTGGAAAAATCACACTCCAAAACAACCCACTATTCATTTTAACTAATCAGATACTCACCACAATCATTGCTGCAATAGACTGCAAAGCAAGAGGAGAAAGAAAGAAGGGCGTTAGCGACAGATGTGGTTTATCTTCCCCAGCCCCTGATTTCCTACCTAGTGGTTTTGAACTGGTAGTTGAAGTTGACATTCTACCATCAGTTTGAGCAAGCAATGACCAAGCAAGCAAACAACCAAGCTCAATTTCAGTTGACACTATTAAATGATTCAGTTCAATGGTGGGATTCAAATTTTTCTACTACCGGTTCTGTGGGTGTGGCTTGGTGGGCATGACAGGGGAAAGATACTGTAAAATCTCTAGACAGAGGTGGCATTTGCCGGTTCTCCGAACTATTCAAAATGTCCACTATTGCTTCTCCAGAACTGGTCAGAACCTGCTGATTCAGTTACAAATCAGTCAGAGGGAGAGAGTTGAGAATTGTTTCTTTCTTTATTGCTAGAGATTTACAGGTCTTCTGCTGTCTGTAACTGCCACTAAATGAAGCATTCACTCCAGTGGTGGGATTCAATTTTTTTTACTCCCGGCTCTGTGGGTGTGGCTTGGTGGGCATGGCTTGGTGGGCATGGTAGGGGAAGGATACTGCAAAATGCCCATTCCCACCCCACTCCTGGGGGAAGGTTACTGCAAAATCCCCATTCCCTCCCCACCCACTAACCTGCTTTCCAGCTCCGTTCTCCTGTGCAGGGCAACAAAAGACGATCAGCCGGGACTTGGGAGGCCAAGAATAGATGGGGGCAGGGACAGTTAGAGGTGGCATTTGCTGGTTCTTCACTCAAAACTACTCAAAATTTCTGCTACTGGTTCTCCAGAACTGGTCAGAACCTGCTGAATACCACCTCTGATTCACCCTCACTCTGCTCTCTGTCTCCCATCCACCCCCAAATGGTCATTTTGGGAAAAAACCCAGTTCTACTTCATTGGAGTGGCAAAAGAGGGTGTCAAAGTATAATCAACTAGTCCACCTCCACCATGGACTTCAAGACGTTAGCGCTGTTGTGCAGAAGAATCCTAAGTACAAGGTTCCCCAGCCGTGGCAATTTTAAGATGCATGGACTTCAACTCCCCAAATTCAGCAGCCAGCATGTTCCCGTGTATGGAAGTCCACACTTCAGTTGGCAAGGTTGGGAAACCCTGCCTTAGTACCATTAGTAGGGTAGGAAAGTTTTAGGATTTAAGGAATTTCATTTCTCTTTTGCATGAACCGATTTAATCCTTCTGCAGTTATGAGAATCTCACAAATTCTTGGAAGTCATAAATAGTTTTGGAAAGTTTACTTCCAGAAACTAAAATGGGCCAGATTACCAGAATGGGCACATTTGCAGCAGCCACCAATAAAGAGAACATTATGGAGAAACATGATTATGTTGATGGAAAAACACAGATTTGCACCTGGTTGTTTAAACTTAGAACTACATCTTCCTCTTTTTTTCCTTTTCCTTTTTAGAAGTAAACAGAGCTTACGTTTTGTAACTTGGGGCATGACTTCTTGAAAATAAGTCACCAGTTTCTGGAGGCTCCACATCAATTCATTGAAAAGCTGCTCACCTGTTGAAAAGAAGGAAGATACCAAGAGGTGTTATGGAAAAGTTGTGACTTGGGCCTTGGTGAAAGCACTCCATGAAACAAATTTAAAGTTGGGGCAGCCCAAGAAAAGACTTGCAGGTAGTCCTCAATTTACTACCACAATTGAACTCAAAATTTCCATTGCTAAGTGAGTCAGTTGTAAGTGAGTTGCATCTCGCCCTATGACCTTTTTTGCCACTGTTGTTAAGTGAATCATGCAGTCATTAAGTATATCTGGCTTCCCCCTTTCACTTTGCTTGCTGGAAGCTGGCTGGAAAGGTTTCAAATGGTGATCACATGACCCAGGATAATGCAACAGTCATAAATACATGCCAGTTGCCAAGCACCTGAATTTTGATCACATGACTAAGGGAATACTGCAACCGTGGTAAGTGTGAAAACCGGTCATGTCACTTTTTTCAGTGCTGTTGTAACTTCAAATGGTCACTAAAGGAACAGTTGAAAGTCGAGGACTGCTTAAGAAAAAAATTATTGTCTATGATGTGAGGAAGGACTCAGAGCTTCTACCATCTTCATGAGGCGTGTCCAAGATTCATCTAATGTCCAGATCTTTGTATAGTTGTCTTCGTAGTGTGAAAATACAATTATCTTCACCCCATAATGATGGAGCAAAGCAGCACGATGCTGCTGGGGTCCAAGCAAGAATAATGGAAACTCCCCCAACCCAACCAAGGGTCAATTCAGTGACCAATCAGGATTACAGATGTAACCACATGACATGAACTACATTTCCCATGATGCATTAACTCCATTTCCCATGAGGCATTCCCTTAAGGGGACAGCTCCCAATTCCCAATTAACTATCCCAATTCCCAATTAACTATTTACTAACTGGATGGCACAAGGCTCCCACAGCTTTATTGTCTTATATATTTGTGGGAAGACAGTCAACCACCCTCATCATGTCACTTTTCTTCTGTTTTCTATCTGACTTCCAAAGAACAATAAGACAGATTTGACACCTAGGCTGAAACTGACGAATCAAGTTTTAATACAGAGGAAATTGGCGAAAGGCACCAACTTAACCAAATAAAAACATCTCCTCAAGGTATTAAAAGTTCCCCATGCTGAACCTAGATTTTCTCACAAAATTCCTTCACTCCAGAGTTCACCATCTTGATTCGCAAAAGATGAAGATACGATCTAAACCCTGCAGGCACCAACCTGCATTTTCTTTCCACCTGACTAAGTGCATTCTCCAGAAATCCAGAAATGACAAATTCTCTGCTAGATTTACTTCAGTTTCCACCAGCCCTGTTGTAAACATATAGTGAGGTTATAATCACCAGTCATGAGATGGCTTCACTAAAGAGCCTTTATTTGAGGTACTGAAATCATTGTCTAAAGAATAGGATCTTTTGGAGAGAGAGAAAATATGTGATCTTGGCTTTGCTACCTTGCTCTTTGTAATCTTTTGCTATTCCAGTGTCTGGCTCTAAATCTAGTCAAGGTTAGCCACTACTTGTGAAAACCATTTTAAGGTTCTTAGACTAGAATTGTCTTTGAGGTGCATTTTAAAAATTGCTAATGTGGAGGGGAGAGGAAAGGGAAAGGGAAAGGAAAGGAAATTAGGTAATATGAATTGTGAAATTCCCTTGGCTAAGGGAATTTCACGAAACCACCAGATGGTGCTGCTTAGTTAATTCCAAGAGAAAAATATTATATTGGAGTACATTATGATGGCGACTTTAGACAAAAGCAGAAAACAGGCCATGGGTGGGGGCATTGGGCAGGCAAGGCAAAACTTTCTTGAGTTTGTGGAGAATCTTGCACCACTAACCCTGTTCTTAATGGACTGCAGTATGTCTACATCCAAAATAATCCTGAGTGCCCTTCAAGAGGAACAAGCCTTATGCATTCCTTTTATGCATATAAAGTACCATTCTTTTTACCTTCAAAGTTATTTTCCTTGATCTGGTTCAGAGAGCGTTTGAAGTAGACAGTGAGTTTTTTTAGCGTCAATTCATCTGAAAATAATGGAAAAGAAGAAGAATTGTAGGTAAAAGAAAATAGCCAGATTCCTTCCTCCCTGCCCCTTGCATTTGTCTTAAGAAGTCTTATTTAAATCAGTTCTTCATATTTAAACCTCAGTCCACAACTTCCGTTCAATATGTCCCTTCGTGAATTTTGTGGTCTGCAAACATAAAAACTGTTTCCAAAAGTTTCTGGGTCAAATATTAAACCAAACATTACTGGTTTCATTCTGAGATAGTATGTTGTGGACCCAATACAATTTATACCTAGTGTACAGAAAAGTCAAAATCAAGGGTTCAAAATCGTAGCTTTGCATTATGCATAAATATCTCCAAATATGTCCTGATAGAATTTCACGCAAACCCTGAATCCATTAGAGTACTGACTACCTTATGACTGCAATTGAGCCCAACGTTTCCATTGATAAGCAAGACTGTTGCTAAGTGAGTTTTGTCCCATTTTACTAACCTTCTTGCCACCGTTGTTAAATAAATCACTGCAGCTGTTAAGTTAGTAACACAGTTGTTAGATGAATCTGGCTTCCCAACTGACTTTGCTTCTCAGAAAGTGGCAAAAGGTGATCACGTGACCCTGGGGACACTGCAACGGTCATCAATATACGCCAATTGTCAAGCATCCGAAGGATGACATGATCACGGGGATGCTGCAATGGTCGTAAGTGTGAAAAACGGTCATTAGTCATTTTTTCAGTGCTGTTGTAACTTCAAAAGGTCCCTTAATACAACCACTCATTAAGGGACTTAGGATTATCTGCACATAAGTGTTTAGTACATTTCGAAGAAACGGAAGTTTTATCGGGCATAGGCACAAACACACATGAATATATTTTCATAAATGCGTACATTACTTTCAGTGGTGGGATTCAAAAGTTTTTACTACCAGTTCTGTGGGTGTGGTGATGTGACTGGGTGGGCGTGGCTTTTTTTTTTTTGCTTTTTTTGCAGTTGCCCCCCCCCCACCCATTTTTGGGGCCTTCTGGACCTCAGAAGAGCCTTTGGGGGGTGTTTTTGCTCCCAGAAGTCTCCTCTGGGGCTCAGGAAAGCAAAAAATGGAGGGGGGTTGAGCCCCTCCCTCCATTTTTTGCCCTCCTGGGCCTCAGCAAGGGGAATCCCAGCACAGTTGATTGTATGAACATCTGATTGTTGGGAGGGGGAAGAAAAGAAAGAAATACCCTAAGAGGCCAGCGTCAGGCGGGCGGGGCAAGCAAGCCAGCGACCAAGTCAGGGCCGTGGCCAGCCAGAACTTACTACTTCGGCAACCCACACCAAATCCTTGCTACCGTCTTGCCCAATCTGGTGCAAACCGGCTGAATACCACCACTGATTACTTTCCAATTATTTATAACCTCAAAGAAATGATCAGATATAAAAATAAACTATCAATTTGGTGTACTGGATTTGACAGTATAACCCTACATATAGTCAGAAAAATTCTGGACCTAGGGCTGGATCCAGATCTTGTCTTATACTTAAGACCAATTCAGTTAGGATGACTAACATCAGTTCCATGCCAATGTACATACATACAAAAAGAATGAGTTATCACAACAACCATTTTGCAAATTTCAACATCTCCCCTATAGAAGCCCCTGGATGTATTTATTTGAGTGGGCGTCCTGAGCATGACTAGATCTCAATTTGATCAGGGGCTTTAAGTTCAGCACATCTTTTGTTAATGGAAGCACCCATTTCAGTGTTAGAAATGCAATGCAAAACCATGACGCAAGATTTCATGCTTGCATGAAATAGGAATATGGTGAAAGAAAAGGAAAGGAGACTCCAGCCTGCTCTTTTAGAGTTGTCATCTCCAAATTTGGACTCAAAGAAGGGTTCATTTTAAAAGCCTTTTTTAAATCACTTCATTCATTCAGTATGATATCATCAGCTTATATTCTTCATTGCCCAGGTTCAAAGCAAGTGTCTTTTTTTTTTAGGGTTTTCTTTTCACCCATCAAGGCAGCTCACCCTCTGACCTTATATTTGCCTTCTCTATTCAGTTTTGTTTGTTTATCTAGGGAACCTATTAGGCCACCTGTCTTACATACATAGCTCTGGACAGGTAACAACCAGTTCACACAAATCAATATAAAAGCTATCACAGAATAGTTAAAAATAATAAATGCCAAAAAAAAACAACCTCTGAGGCACAATATAACAAACTCATATTGTATATACATATGCATGAGACTCCTCTAAATCTGAAAGAGAAGAAATGTTGGTTTCATCCTCAAGATGACACAGTTTTAGACAGAGAGGGGATCTGGGACATGCTTGCTTTGTTGGGTCTGGTGGGACAAGAGGAGATAAGTGGACCCACAAAAAAACAGGACCCATTTATAATACATGCCTATAAAACATGGCTTTTTGCTCCCACTGATTTATCTAACTTGGCCCTGCCAATGTTGGTGGATGAGGTTGTCATAGCACAGTGTTTCTCAATCTTGGCAACTTGAAGAAGCATGGACTTCAACTCCCAGAATTCCTCAGCCAGCATAGTTGGAAAATATGCCCTGACATGAGAAAATCAAAGGACAGCCTTCAGATTATGCCTCCCTCTCCAAAATATTAATTTTATAAATCAGTATAATTTGGTAACGTGACCTCTTTGTTCCATATACAGATTACTGTGTAAAATTCAAAACTTGCCCTTAAAAATGCTCATAGTACCAGGATATGGGTTTAAATCTGTCCAAAATAGCTCTGATTCACTCCTGAAAAATTTGGATCTACCAGAGAGCTACTGGAAGGAATGCATTCATACCAATAAAAGCCATATATTTTTCTGGATGTATGGGTTGTTGCGATAACCCCTCCACGGTATTGTCCAGGAGCTGCTGCAATTTTCTTTTGAGTTCAGGGTTCCTTCGGAGTTTGTTTTCCAGGTAGCTATTTTTGAACTCTTCTTGAAGTGCTATGGCTTCTTTGCTACATTGTAAACAACCCTGAGATCCTGTGATGACCATGGTCACGAGCCCAAACTCTAACCAAGACATGACACTATCTTGCCTTGTCAGCTGCTGGAAGGAGCCTTGAACAGCAAAACAGTGACATCATAACCATGACCTCACAAAGCCTGCATGCTTTTCAGTCAGAAGTGAATGTGACTCTTCCATTGAAATGTCCCCATGTGCTCAGACCGTGGCTTATAATTGGCTGAACACATCATGACAATGAGCTGGCTTCGCTCATATTTAATGGAAACAGAAGAAACCACATTATGGTTTAGCACAATATATGCAGCATAAGTCGATGTTACAACAGACAGAGAAATGCAATCTGCACTTAATTTCCAATTAGCATCCTGAAATGTTTTTTTAATCAGAAGATGGAGGCAATTTAGCTTCTGTCCTTTCTGATGTGTTTCCAGTGCTTTCCTGCATATTTAATGCCTGTTCCTTATTATTTTTTCATTGGTTTACTTGTGTTGGATGAACTATCTCTCACTAATATAATCCCTGTAAACTTGCATTGCATTTCTGTTTTCCTAAATTGGCTTCTAGACCAGTGTTTCCCAGTTGGGGGTCTTTAAAATAGGGGGACTTCAACTCCCAGAATTCCCCAAACCTCCATTCTCGCTGAGGAATTCTGGAAATTGAAGTTCTCATATCTTACAATTGCCAAGGTTAAAAAAAGGAGCCCGTGGATTTAACTTGAAAGCAGATTTCTTCTTGTAACTCTTTACTAGAAAGGTTTTTTTTTTAGTATTGATTAATCTGAAAGAAAGGAACCAATCTGTATAGGAAAGCAATTAGCTTCCGATCTGCAGCCATCCTTTGGTCAGCCAAACGAGCATAGATTATTCATAGCCTGCTTTCAGGCCACTGAAGCTGACAGCAGTGAAAACCATTCTGGCACTTTAAGGCAGCTGCTGGGAGCTTGGAAAGTGAGAAGATTTTCAGTGTAGAAATGATCCAAAGTATTAATTTCTGGGCTGATGAATGTGTTTGCAATATCTTTGTATCAGGGAGATGAAAGGATACATCTGAGATCATAAAATAAGTGGGCAGAATTAAATAATATTTTTTAAAATGTTAGTGACCCTATAAGAAAACTAGAAATCATAGAATTCCCAGATTTTTTAAATTATCAATTATTTTTTAAATTTATTAAATTTATATGCCACCCCACGTTACCATCAAGGGATTGACTTTCCCTCCAAAACTCTTCTTGATACTGGTTGTTATTGTTTCTGTTATATTTTGCCTTTGTTCTCCAAAATTTAAGGCTATGAAGATATATTCTGCCCAGTTTATCTTCAAACAACCTTGCAAGGTGGTGTAGACTGAGACAGCCTTAGAAAACTGTGTGAAGATTTTAATACATCAAATATTTGCCCAGAGGTGTCCAACCTTGGCAAGACTTGTGGATTTCAATGCCCAGAATTCCCCAACAAGTTATATTCTGGGAATTGAAGTCCATGTATCTTAAACTTCCCAAAATTGGACACCCCTGGTTAGACCAATATAACTACCCAGTCATCACATAATCTCTTTCTGATCTGGGCAAATTAGCCTCTTCAAAGGGCAAAAGCCTCTTACTTTGCAAACAGGAAACGCACCTCAAGATTTCAGACTGGTTGACTTGCATGCCGAGTGACCCTGGAGTTGAAAATAACAAGGAAAATTCCTTGTACATAAGTAAGGAATGTAGGCAAGAGAATATTTTCTATAGGAAAGGGTTTTTTTAATTAATGAAGAAATTGATTGTAAAATTGATAATAAGAAATAATTAAGAAATTGAGAGCTAATTTGGTTAAGGCTTAAGCTAGAAATAGGTAGATGGTGAGTTCTAGTTATGCCTTACACATGAAAGCTATTTGGGTGATTTCCGGTCAATCATTAGCAGATGGTGAGTTCTAGTCCCGCCTTAGGCATGAAAGCTGGTTGGATAACTTTGGACCAATCACGAGGAGACGGTAAATTCTAGTTCCACCTTAGGTAGGAAAGTCGTCTGGGTGACTTTGGGCTGTTCCCTCTCTCTCAGCACAACCCACCTTACAAGGTTGTTGTTGTGGGGAAAATATCAGGAAGAAGGTATGTTGGATATGTTTGCTGCCTTGAATTGTTTATAAAATAAATATATTTGCTGCCTGGAGTGGTTAAATAAACAAATAAGTAAATAAATAAATGTCATGTACATTGAGTCAAACAATGGTTTGGCTTTTCATGTAGCTTGCTTCCAAAGCGAATTCAACTTTCCCTTAAATTTAGCCCCCCACCCCACCAACTGACCCCAAGAAGGTCAGATCTCCAGTCTCCTCTTTCCTCCCTTGGGTCCTCTCACCCTCCACGCCTCATAATCTTCTAAATTCCAGGGTTGTGTCCCTCTTTCATCACATCTTGTATATCAGGACTTTGGGACCACCTGGCCATATGGGGTCAGAATAACTGTGGTCACGGTCTGTTCTGCATTAATTAACCTTTGATCCTTAATGGGCACCTCGGGGGAAGAAGAGGTGGGAGGGCCTCATAAAAACAACAGAGAGATTAATAGCCAGCCAACCAGCAATTTCACTTTCAGAGCTTAGGACAGCTGGGGGGTGGGGGGGGGGGGGGGGTGGTGGAGAGGGAGGAGCTTATTAGCTGGGTGATGTGGGGAAGAAAGGACAGTAATTTGGGAACTGGGAGGGGGCATCTTGGGCTGAAATGGCAAAGCAACTGCACTGTGGGTTGCCAACTGCTTAAGGGAAAACCAGTCTGTGTTTAGTTAGCAGTTGGATTTGCAGGAATCTCAAAATAGAAATAAACTTCACCATCTACTTCAGATCTGTGTTTAAGGCTCACAAACAGAGAGGGAGTGAAAAAGTGGCAATTCTAGCTGTGAGCCCAAATTACAGGGTTTTGGTCGGTGGCACAATTTGAATGTTTATCTTAAATTGTTTGAAAATTGCAAGCTTTGGAATATTTTGACAAGTGGCTGAGGTTCGGGATTTGGATCTGCTGAATTTACCAAAATATGAATTATTGTTAGAGCGATATATGCAATTGCTAAAATTCTCCTTTTTCGTGCCAAGCATTATTGTTAAGTATTTGGATGCTGATGTGGATTGTAAACCGTTGCCAAAGGCTTTTGGTCAGCGCTCGATTAATGTTAAAGTAAATCTCTTATGCAACACCACATAAGATGCGTGTTATCAAAAGGAGAAGAGAGCAAAAATCACACAGATTTGCATAGTATTTACATGCATACTAATCTACATACACTTGTAGAAATAATTTACATAATTTAAATATAATTCCCTTCATGGAGAAGATGTTAACTATCAGATTACAATTCTTCTCTCCATATAGCAACTTCAAGGCTTCAGTGCCCCTTTACAATATAGGTAATCTTTGATTTACGACTGTAAATCCAGTCACCCATATGACCGATCTGATGTTATGAGGTCCTTGTTAAGCAAACCAATTCACTACAGACCAGTTTTGCAAACCAATTCACTACAGACCAGTTTTGCCAAAAACCAGGAATAAATGCCAGGTTTTGGCAAAACCATTGTAAAATGCGATCATATGACCAAGGGACACTGCAAATGGATGTAAATGCAGATTGGTTGCTAAGGGTCCAACATGCAGTCACATGACTACAAGGGGGAGTGGCCATCAGAACTTTGGATCCAGATTCCATTATGGTTGCAAGTTGAGAACTTCCTATATTAATAGAATTGAAGCTTAATTTTAACTGCAAAAAGGGGCAATTTTTTCTGGCTCTGGATCCCATCGTGCCATATTGACACAATATCAAAATCTTGCAATATTTCAGTCAACCTTATAGAAATTCACAGTATTCCATCTTGTGAACTCATATTCAGAGGATATTAATTGATTGCGTAATATTAATTATCAACTGTCAGGAAGTTCCAAGATAATATCTTAGAGATTCACTAGTTTGACAAGACTTTACCAATCTATCTTTTATTGCTGCTTTATGCATTTAGGCTCTCACTTTTCATTCTGATTACTTTAATATGAAGAAAGTTCTGTGTCTTGTTCTATTTACTGGCTAGAAAGTTTATTTGATTATTTAAATTTATTAAAATTTAATCAAGTTATTGAATATACCCAGATGATTAAGTGAATATAATAACAAAACTGTAATACAGTCTTCTTCTTGAGCTTATTAAAAGACAGTTTAATAAGCTAATTTAATGATCAGTTTAATAAGCAAATGTAACCTCAGCGGAAGGAAATTCCAGCTAGGGCTTGTTTTATTCTTTCAATACAAGCAAATGTTACGAATACAGGCACACACACAAATACACACAGACACAGACACAGGAGGTAGGCATTCTGCTTGAGTTTGTCAGTAGAATAAGACTCTGAAAACAAAACCGAATTGGATAAGATTTGATGTGGTGGGATGTAGGTACTGGGAAAAGAAGAATCAAATTAAAAAATGGGCTGTATCTGGTCAATGGAGGAAAAAATTGGGGAAAGAAATATTCTCAATGCCCCAATGATGGAAAATTGGGCAACTTCTTCACAACAGCACTGAAAAAAGTAACTTACATCCAGTTCTCAAAGTTATAATAATTGCGGCATCCCCTGGTCACATGATCAGAATTTGGGCGCTTGGCAAACCTGCATGTATTTGTGATGACTGCTGTGATGTCATTACCATTGGCGACCTTCCCAGCTAGTTTCCAATAAGCAAAGTCAATGGGGGAAGCCAGATTCCCTTAACAACCCCGTGATTCACTTAAACAATTGCAGTGAATCCCTTAACGAATGTGGGTGCCACTCACCAACAATCACCTTGCTGAGCAACACAAATTCTAGTCCCAATTGTGGTTGTAAATCAAGGACTCTGTATTTTCCTGGGCATGTGTGGCTGTAGGATGAGTTCAGGAAAAGCCACCGCTTCTTTAAGAAGCAGCCAAGATAATGCACCCACAACAGATTCAAACCACATTTGCCCACTTCTGAACCACATACTGTACAACACACTTATACTTCTGAAAGCAAACAGCATTGTACATAGTCTTTAAACAACGGTT